CACAGCAATATGATAAAATTGGAACGATATAGAGAAGATTAGGATAACCACTTCACAAGTTCTCGGTCCAAATTTTGCTCATAGATACATTTCTCATCAAATAAAAGTTCAAATCGAAATATTGACTAGGTCCCCTTCAGAAAAAATATTGACGACGCAAAATATTCAATTTCTTCTATGTTCCTTCTTTTATTGAGTGGAAATGATGTGAACTATAGATAGTAGTTTCTGAAGTTTAATTTGTCAAAGGTATTATTCAGGAGAACTTCATTGTTGTTCAACTTGTAAATTAAAAAAGGCTAGTTGTATCCACATTTTCATTGTTTTTGGCCCTCCCATAAAGAATGTTTAGGAGGGTACTTCTTGATAGTTCGTCAGCTTTACTGAAGAACAATGGATTTGGAAGAATTTACAAAATGTAACTGTAAAACAAACAACATTCAGTGGATTGAAAAACTACAATTAAGCTAAATATATATAAGGTGAAACCGATGTCAACTAAACTTAAAACCATCGTAAATTCAGACTCACATACAAGATACAACGTTCAATTCTAAGTTTAAATATATATAAGGTGAACCCATGTCAACTAAACTTAAAACCATTGTAAATTTGGATTCACATACAACGATACAATTTTAAGTTTCTAATTTAGAGTTTACGACCAGTTTTGTTGGCCCTTCTGGGGATATCCAACTTAATTACTAGTTTTCCTTTACATTCTAATTTTTTTTTTGACAAAGGTAACAGTTTTGTGTATTAATCTTTAGCACTAAAGGCTGGGATCCCAAATTTACATCATGGAGCTACATACAGTTGCGTGTACTTAAAACAAAACCAAACTAGATCCTACTTCATCTTACAAAGGACCTAGGATATCTCTAACCGCTATAGGATCATCTACATACTCCGAACTGCACCAATAGCAAAAAGTGATTATGCAGTTCATTTTAATCCTGTGTAAAGGACTACTAATACTCTCAAAGCATCTCATATTTCTCTCCTTCCATATGGTCCACCAAATCACTGCTGGGACAATCCTCCATCTGCTTTGGTCTGTATTGCCACTGCCTTCATTGTTCCAGCTTTCTATAGCCTGACTTGCCCTTTGTGGCATGGTCCAGTTTCTAATTTCCTAATTTTCTTTTGTAAAAAAGCAATAATGGGCTGATTTTTATTGCAACACACACCTTTTCTTTTGGTGAGTGCACTGGAGCTCTGCCTTAGCAAGATCAGTGGCGAATTTAGAGCCAAGAAATAGGACACCGACACCGGTGGTCTCTTCGTAAAATTAGATATTTTATATATATATTTTTTAAAATTTGTATAATATTATATTCTGGCACTCGTACTACAAGAAGTCTAAATGGTCCACATGGTTAAATGTTGAGCTTTTGACCTTGAGGATTAAAGATCAATTTCCACTTCAATACATTTTACTTGGTGCACCCATGTTTGAAAAATCCTAGATTCGCCTCTGAGCAAGATGAAGCAGCTAGTATAAATAACACCTAGCTTCAAGGGTCAATCCCACTTTTAACAACTGAGTTTTGCTGAGGAGTGCAATGCTTATTCAGAATTTACTTATTATGCATGTTAGATAAGTGGTTGACTGTTTCTGTTTCCTCTAACAGAAAAGAAACAAAATGAAGGACTAAGTGTTTTTTCGTGTGTTACTGATACACAACTACTCCCTCTGTTTCAATTTGTTTGGCTTGATTTGGAGTATGAGCATCAAATTAACTAATGTTCGGTGAGAATCCGGACATAGAATCTTCAACTTTTTTTGAAATAAAACTTACATATTTAGAAATTACGTAAAAAGTTCTATAAGTCATAATAGTTAACTATTCAAAAGTATTTAGTAAGTATGATCAAAGAAAATATCCTTTGATTGTCCAAATATTAACTACGACAAACAAATTGAAACAGAGGGAGTATCATTTACTCAATATTTGCTTGTCAAAGCGGGAAGATCAATTTTCTTTGTAAGTTCTTTCTCCCCCCTTCTTTTTTGCCTTTGCTACAATCTTTGTTAGTTCTTGTGATTGCTGAAGTGTGGACAGATCTGATTCCTTTCTATTCTAGTTGTACTGAAGTTGTTTGCATGAATCTTCTCTTTAAAAATTTAGGCAGTCTGATTTTCTTGTAATAGCTGTGTTAGCCCTTTTGGACTACCTCTGATATTATTTATTGGGAAATGTGATTCTTCTTAACTACAGGATGAAGATAAAGAATTTGCAATCAACTGGAGACGAGTTGCCACAACGAGCTTGTTCGGCTTTGCATTTGTTGGACCTGTTGGCCACTTCTGGTAGACCTTTCCTTATTCATTTTCTTCTGCGTAGGTTACTGGTTTGCCAATTTTCACGGAGTGACCTTGTTTTTATCTTTGATGAGCAGTAATCTGTGATTAGTATTACTTCATGGGGTGCATTTTTTTCAAAGGGTTGTCTGGCATACTGGCATTGTTATGTCACAGTTATCAAAATGTTCTATATAATAAAAATATACTTGTTTCCTTTATCAAATAAGTAAAAAATGTGGTCTCAAATTTACTGGACCTTCGACCTTCACAACTATCCTCTTGAAGTTTCTCAAAATGGGGCGTTGATGTGAATCAATTGTAATCTAGAATCTTTATATATTAGAACCTCAGTAACTAACTAGTAATTGTGAGATCAATTTCATACTTGCTGCTATACTTTGTTCAACAATTTCTTGCTGCATAACCTTTCATATGTAGTTAGTAATGCCACAGAGGGATGTGCTCTTATTTTGGCTCTTATATGTGTTGCGATGGTTGAATCTTATTTTAAATAAGAATGTTGGATAGATTTCTTATCTTGGTTTCTGATAAAAATGAGCTTTCTGCAACTTTACATAGGTTAGCAGTAAGATTTTTTCTTTTAGCAGTAATTGCATAGTGGAATTATGTCTTCCTTCGCATCTATCTCTTTAAAGCTTTGGTCAAAGAAGCATTAGAACGTTATTGTGGCTTGTTGGATATATCTTCATTTCCTCTCTTTATGGACCACAATCAAAATGTCTAATCTATTGATTTATGTCACTTCATTGAAGTAGAATGTAGTGGAATTTGATCCAGTTTGAACATTTAATAGATAAATACCGGAGTTTTAGTTTAGAACTAGTGCCTTATGGTATTGTGCTCTCAATTATGCAGTTTTTCAAGGTTTAAATTCTATCCTAATCTCTGGATGCTCATAGATTTAACAAGTACTCATACTTGTGCCGTCTTCCTCCCTTTATTAATTGAGGCCTTTAGTCTGTTTGACTTAATTTATTTGAAGACTTGGCATAACATAATCCAAATCAGAGTCAGACTGAGACTAAATCTTTTCATGTGCACTAGGAACTAATTTTTTGATGTGCTAGAGCATTTTTTGTTTTCAATAAATTACTGTTATGTTGTGACAATTGAAAGTAATATTTATGAGTTATAATTGAAAAGACTGCAGATAATTTTTACTTCTGTAATGTTTGGGGTGAATGGATCTCACTGTATTATCTGTTTAGGTATGAAGGGTTGGATCGCGTCATAAGACTGAGATTTCAAATGCAACCTAAATCCCTGCGGTTTGTTGCTACAAAAGTAGCACTTGATGGTATAATCTTTGGGCCCCTGGATTTACTTGTCTTTTTCACATATATGGGTTACTCCACTGGCAAAAATACTGCTCAAGTTGTGGAAGGTGTGAAGAGAGACTTTCTTCCAGCTTTAATACTAGAGGGAGGTATATGGCCTATTGTCCAGGTCGCCAACTTCCGCTATATACCAGTTAGATATCAGCTCCTTTATGTCAATTTCTTCTGCTTGCTTGATAGCTCCTTCCTTTCATGGATTGAGCAGCAAGAAGATGCTGCATGGAAGCAATGGTTGAAAAACATTGTGCGCTTAAAAGAACAGAAGGAGGAAGGTAGATGATTCCTTATTTCACTAGGGATACGCATTGGCTTTGTTAATCGGGAATAGTGATATTAGTTATAGAGACATGTGAAGTATTTACAGGAATCTTGGAGAGTGTCGATTTGAAAATTGGTAGTTCGATTCAGTAAAAGTGATAGCACTTTGTCAAGCTACACTATTATCTATTGAAGCTTAACATAGCTATTATGTTCCTATCTGTATCCACTATACATTTTGATTGCTCCTGCCTCATATTTTGACATTTGGGGTTAATTTTGAGAAAGATAATTCCCTTTTTATTGAGAAATTGAATTCAATTGCTATCAAGCACTGAAATCTGTTGTCTTTTGTCTTTGTTAATGTTATATTTTGTTCTTCAAGGAACTGATGGGCATGGCTGAATACAGACCATGGTTGAGCAGCGATAGTTTTAATAATTACATATGTTGTCCGAGTTTCGGTCTTATGGGCCATGGAACTGTATATAGTAAGCTTGGCCATGATTATGGAAATGTAGCCAAAATGTAAGATGATACCATGTTACAGCAAATTGAACTGTTTAATTTGTGGATCTTCTGTGATGGCATATTCCATGCTACAAAGAAATAATTGAACTTAAAAATTATTAAGCTTTATAAATTGTACTACTACTGCTACAACTTCACAATTGATCATAGACAAAATAATTTGAACATTCAACACTCAATCTTTATAAAACCACTTGTAAATTATATTTGAGACATTGCAAACTGAAAAGTTTCATTTTCTTCACAATGTGGAATAACAAAGATGGTTTTACAGACTTTTAAGTTAAAATGAATCACTACGTTCCTCAATAAACTATACATAGTTTTAGCATTAAAGGTACACCTTAAAACATGCTACAGAAGAGGTGAATCAATATCCATCTATAACACTTCCTTCTGCACCGCAAAACTTTCAGAACTTGCATCTGCAGGGACAATTTACTTCATAAAGAATTGCAGTAACAAACTATATACAGAAAAGAAAATTATAATAACATGTAGACGCTCCAAAGTTCTCGCGCTCACTCTTGCTTCAACGGGATGAGTCAGTCAAAAACAAATGAATTTTACCAACCAGAGAAGTAAACTGAGTACAAAAATCTGCTCATTAACACCTACTTACAAATGAACAAGGAACCTGACGTAAACCTACTTCTGCAAAATGAAGTTAATAATGTAGCACCCCAACGTCCAAATACACAACAAAAGGAGCGATGGATAGCAAGAGGAACAATCTTTATAGCTTTACTAGTAAAGATGCAGAACAAAAAGTGTGATGCAAAAGATAATTAAGCAAAGCATAGCCTTAAGAAAGTCAAAAACTGTGGACGCACATGTTAAAATTATACCTTCTATGTATAAAACAGAAGGTGCAGCTACAAATGTCATCTGGATTATTTTTGAGTAGTTGGTACTACTGTGGGGGGTATGAAGGTGGGTATGCAGGCGCCGCAGGAGTGAGAGCATAATCATATGCACTATAACCAGCCTCCCCTCCATATGATCCATGATAACTCCGCACTCCACTAACTCCAGCTTCTTGAAGTGCATATCCATATTGTGGAGCAAGTATAGCCGGACTTTGAGTGTGAGTACCGCTATAAACTGGAGCATATGAGACCGTGCTAGGTGCTTCATATACACTCTGGCTGGTGTAGCTATGTGCCCCTGTATACCTAATTGGTGGAGCCTGATGTGATTGAGGAGGATTCCTGGAGCGGAAAGCTGTGGCATTTGACGATCTTCCAGATTTAACAGGCCGAGAGGTGGACGGGCCACTGGACCTGCCAGTGCCACCTCCACGACCCCGCTTTTTTGAAGGCTTGTTCTCAGGAGTTGTGCCCATTTTCTTTTTTGCTTTGGCCTGCTCCAACTCAGTTACCCGTTGTTTAAGTCCTTCTAAAGTAAATTCTTGTTCAAGCTTGTGATCTTCCACACATTTTATTAAAGCCTTAGTAGCTTCCAACTCTATGCTGTTAGCTTTGTCCTGAGATATAAGTCACTCTTATCGAATACTGACAAACAAATATATAAAAAACGAGGGAAGACATAAAGAACAATAGAACAGATTCATAAAGTAGACACAGGAATAACTGAGTATCTCACAAAGGATTTACAGCAGAAGGTGCTTGGACAATTTTGAGGTGGTACTTAAAGTCTTACGGAGCGTACCCTCCTCCTTTTACAATTTACTGACAAAATATACTTTTTTTATGGAAATGATAGTCTGTCATCGATGACTGTCTTTCCCCAAACTTCGCTTTAAAATAACATAGGCAGGTTTCGCTGTTAAAAAATATTTATGTGACATCTACACTAAGGGTGTCCACTGCGCCGGGATGTCCCGGACTGGCCCAGTACCGGTTTGATAGGGTTTGACGGGTTTAGGGGATGGAACAGGTCATCATTTGGGCCATGTATCCTGGACCAGTCCAATCACAGTACCAGCCCAGTCCCCGAATTTAAAAAAGAAGAAAAAAAGTAGGCGTTGCCAATGAATGCTTTTGTCTCCCCTAGTGTTTCGTCCCCCCCCCCGGTCATTCTATAAGTCATCAAATTAATCTGCAATCTTCCAGCAACTGACTTCGCTTAAAACTGAGAAGGAATAAAAGATACAGAGAAAGGAAATGAACAGAGAATTCTTTCTCCATTCCTTGGATCCAGGGAATTCACTCCTCTGTGATCTACGAAACATAATAATATACTTGAATATCACTTGTCATCTGGGCAAAAAATGAAATTAAAAAGAAGGAAAACAGACAGGCAACCACAGTGAAGGAGAAAAGAGGGGCTGGATAGAGAAATATACGCACCACTGCAGCTGAACTAAATTTTCCCTTCTTTGATATGTTATTAGCATTTCTTCGGCAGTTCCTGAGAGATAACTTAAGAAGTGAGAGTGGAGGGTATCTCTCTGATAATCCAGACTCTGTAGCAAAATAAACTGCTTCAACCTCTTTGCCGCTCTTCAACAGCTCTTCAATAATATCTGATCAAAGAGAAGGAAACTCCAAGTGTCAGGCTGTTCATATATATTTTTTTATAAAATAGTAATTTGATTTATATTTGGACACAAAAAAACCCAAATACAAGAACTACACCAAAAAGTAAAAAACCTAAAGAAATATAGGGTAAAAATTCTGCATTATATATTCCAGTTGCTAGCAAAACACTAAACAGGTCCTTTCCCAATTTGAATATTTTCCAGAGCAAAGTAAGAGAAGTATCTTAAACCAAATACTATATCTTACCGCATCAATCCAGTTTAAGTTTCTCTAGCCAACTATATTCAAATTTTGTAATGCCTATATGGAGGATATTGGAAATCAAAGTTTTCTATGACATTAATTCCACAGATAATAGCAACTTAAGTAGTTCATTAAAGAACCTACCTCCTATTTTGTTACCAAATCCAAAGGCAACGGCAAGCTTTGGCATATCTTTCCTGTTAGCAAACTCCAGCACCAGCTTCCTAAGGAACTCCTCCTCAAACCTCTCTTTTAGCGCAAATGCGATAACCAACTGCAAAAACATTGTTGCTTCAGCAGCGCAAACTCCACTGCTTCTGTCCCCACCGCCCAAAACTCCCTTCCATTTCTCCAACACCCTTGCTGCCCTCTCCTTCAAACTCCTCCCTGCACCATAACCCCCTTCCGCAGCTGGCACAACTGACTGAATTAACATATCACAAGCCCACCTCCTATCTGCCAGTATCGCTTTCTTCTCTACCTTCCTCCCCACAAACTCCTCTGCTGCATCCAAGATCAACCTGAAGGACCCAGCAAAAAGAATGATAATAATAAGATGACCAAAAACACCTAACATACAATATGAGCTTCGAAGTCTCTACTTTGCTTTGACATATGCAGTGATAACTCTGATTCTGACCAAACCTGTCTCCTTCCCCGTCATCCAAACCCCAAAAAAAGAACAAAAAACAAACATAGAAACCCTATAAAGATGCATAACTGTGAAAGCCAAGGAAGTGTTACAGTAGGGAGAAAATCTTCTAAGTGTTTGGTTTTAATTACTTCTCCAAGAAAATAAATATTTTAAGTCAAAGGATAAAGAGAAAGTTCCTAAAGACTTCTATAAGACAAAAAGACAAATGGATAACTTCCATAGACTATTCCAACAACTGAGAGTCGAGCAACCAAAAGCTATTAATCCAGATCACTGTTGTTTAGCTCATCCTTTTATGTTCAACACATTCATTGGCTCATTAGGAAATATTGTGTTGCCTTGCATGTTTGTGTTGAAGATGCAACATAATTTTAGAACTGTGAATTGGAATATTTCCTTCTTTTAGTGTCTGGAGCTCCTTCTTGAGGCACACCCATATCTACAGAGTATACAACAAACTTTTTTTTTTAACAATGGAGTGTACGACAAACTATTACTCTTTATTTCATAGAACTCCTTTCACAGTCTATTGATTTTTATTCACAGCCATAATTCATTTCTTGATATTTAATTGAATTGCTATTAACTATTGCCTTTGTCCTAGTGCCACTTTTTTTACCATAGCACAAAAAGGTAACTACTAGTAACAAAAATAAGTGTGTGAACGCAGATGCTAATTGATCATATAAGTAGTCGGTGCAATCTTTCAGCATAGTCCATATGTATGTGGGTGCAAAAATTTAAAGACAACCCAACCCTGATTATAGGGTCAATTAAGTCCCTAGGATTAATGTCGAAACAATAGGGAATAACCTTAAAGTGATCATTTGACAATTCTATTTGGTACATATGCATCAGTTTTTCCCTGATACCTTAGATGGAGTGGAGAAGCTTATGTAAATGTGCTGACATGAAGATAAGCTTCTTCTTTATGTCTTGGAATACGGTAGGATAAACTTAAAATTTATGTCAAGCACCTTGGAAGTTATAAGTTACAATCTTTTTGGTTCATGATTTATGAGACATGTTATCATTATGTAATGAAGTGAGTGATCCCTTTAGTTCTTTATCACTGCTTATCTTATCTGAAGCAAGAGTCACTGTTAGATTCTAGAATGAAATGGTTTCACTCTAAAAAAACAACTTGGGCATTATAGAGTGCTGAAAATATCTCCTATTACTTACCAACTGTTTATTGATCTCTGATTTAAAGAATATTAGTCTGAACTCTGAAATATTATCCCTTTACAACTCGCTTGGATGATTGTTACCCATTGTATTGAATTGTATTGTTAGTTTAAACACAATGTTTGTTTTGATTGTTATTTAAATTTTCTTGTATTGTAATGACGAAAAGTCCCAATTTGCCTAACGACTGATTTGGCGTGATTATGTCATTACCTTAATTTTTTCTTAGCTCTACTCAATGATCTGTTTTTTTCTGGTCGGTTGATTGTTCAAATAGTTGCTGTGCACATTATGTAACAATACAATATATCTAAACGTTGTATTCATTGAAACAATACAATACATTATGAAACGATACGTAACAACCATCCAAATAGAGTGTTAAGCAAAATGCATCATAGAGTAATCTAAAAGAATCAAACCTCATTGGATCCACAGAACTTTCAAGTGCAGCAGCAATCTCCATCCTCAAACCCGTAGGCTCCTTCCTCTTAGTCTGAATAAATCCAACAAGGCCGCTAGCATCCATTCTCTTACAGTAACTCCTCAACACTTCAGCCAAGCTTTTCTCGCTTAAATCCCCCAAACTCTCAATCTCAGAGATAGCAGCATCCTTCATCTCCACAATCCGAGCACCCATGCTCGATTCCCGATCGGGTAAGGCATTCTCTCGATTCTGTATCTTCAGTAATGCATCTTCCGTCTTATCCTTGAAAATTTTGACATGAGTATCGAGGGTTTCCGATTTTTGACAGAGAGTATTGTTTATGTTGGTGAAATGGGTGGTTAGGGCTTTGTTGAGGTCAGTTATGGTGGTGAGTAAGGTCTGTCGAGCTTCGAGGTTGTTGAAGAAGGTATGAATCGGTTCAAGGTTCGTTACAGTATCTGCCGCCATGGAAATGGAGCTTTTTTACACTGCAAATTTGTGGAAGAAAGAAGATATACAAACAATAAGCCTTTGAGCCCATGTTGATGTTATTGGACTTCCAATTACTCAACAAGGCCCACAGTCATTTATCAAAAAAAGTCGAGATAATCTTGAATTTCTATTTCGTGATTTATTATTTCAAAAATAGCGATATCCGATCCTCAAAAATAGTGTACAACCTAAAATTTTCACTTTTAAACACGCACAATTTCAAAACATATGATCGGGATTTCGAACACATTGTTTGGATGGTTGTTACGTATTGTTTTCATAATGTATCCTATTGTGTTCTATTGTATCGTACTGTATTGTTTTAATGAATACAATACTTGGATAGATTATATTATTCTCAACTGTTACATAATATCACACATCCATAATTTGAATAAAAAACCTACAAGAAAAGTAGGTATGAACTAGAGTTACTATGAAAAGGTAGGATAATAGATGACATATGATTTTATTAAATAACAAATAAAGACAAAATGAGAAGAAAATATTAAGGTAACGACGCGATCACACCAAATCAATCGTTATATAAAATGAGTCTTTTCACCGTTATCTAACGATGAATTTAAATAATACGATACAATAAAATTTAAGTAACAATCAAATCAAATATTATATTTAAACTAATAATATAACGGGTAACAACCACTCAAACAAGGTGAGTCCTCAATGTTATTGCATTAGGCACACATTATGTCGGATCATTATTTTATAAAGTTATTATAAATAAAGAAGAGCAAAAAATACATTTAAGAACGGTGAAATGCAAGTGACACAATATTTTTTTTTTAATTTCTCCTTCAATGTTCATTTTTCGTACTTAAGTTCAATTAATCAGAATTTATGTTAAGAAAAACCTATTTAAAGTGAAAACGCTTTTTAATAATGTTATTTTTTATATTTAAAAAGTCAAATCTCTACCAAACTTTTATCAGTGAAACGATACATAATCAAAATTGTTCAACAACAGAAATGAAAAGAAGTATTACTAAAATTGTTTAAAAGAATAAGACAAATATAGTTAGTCGATATAAAGAGTCCAATTACTTTTGAAGACTAGCAAAAATTTAATATATAACAATAATAAGACAAAGGTGTCAACTATATTGTCATCAACTTTGAGTTTCCCAACTTTTTTAATCAATATTCATAATTTATTATTACGATTAATTCAGATTCATATTATAAAAGAGTTACAATTAAAATTTTGGGTTTTAATCGCCAATGGTTATAACAAATTTAATTGATTCTTATTACTATTTATTCTCTTATACCTTCTACTGAAATTTTTTACGTTCTTTACCTAAAAAAATTTAATTTCATTACTCGAACTCGAAATAAAGGTGGAGAATTATTTGTCTAAGTTGTCTAACTCACATTATCACTTTCAACTTGCAACAATTGCTATGAAGTGACCTCACTTTAGATAAGCTATCTTTAGTTTATAATTAATTCTCCTTATCATATTTTACTTATTAATATGTCATTAATTAATCAATCAATCAATTTATATGATGATGAGTTTTGTAGTTGTACATAATCATCAATATTTTATAATAATAACAATAATATAATACTAATAAATCTTATATTTATTTCCCATGGAGAAGGAGAGAACAATTTGTTCTTTATTACGTAGAACAAGATGTATATTTAACAAAAACATTTATTTTTTATGTTTTTTTTTGTTGTTGAAAGAGAAATTAACGTCTCGTTTCAATATAACAATTCATAAACTACACGAGGTAAATTTTGTGTGACGAGCTTTAGAATACGTAGGAACGAAGAGAGTATGTAGTATACTTTGTTCACCGAAGCATAATTAAATACATTAAACCATTTTAAAAAGAAAAAATAATTTAAATAGTTATCAACTTAAACTAAAAATAGCTAGTGACGGTATAATATACGTATGTAACACATAGAATTGTATATCATCAATGTATAATTTATGTATATTGAGTTATGAGTTGTAGACACTAAACCCAAATGTGTACAATTTGTGAATAATCTGTATGTGTCGGGATAAGAAAAAAAGGTAGTAGTAGTAGTAAATAATAAATCCAAGTGTCTGTTTGTGCAAAGATTCATTAAAATACCTTCAACCAAATATACATTATACAAATATTGAATTCTTTTTGGGTTTTTTTGTACTACTTTATTTTTTATATTTTTAATCTTGAATCTTATGCTAGCAATTTTTTTTTTTGTGAATTCACTTCGATAAGAAGAAAAATGAAGTGTTCCAAGACCCTCTTGGCCTAGTCCTAAACATTTTAACAACTTTTTTTTTTCTCGAATTGTGTTATTCTTCTATTCAAATTGTAAACGAGATTTTCTTTTTTCAAAATTCCATTAATTCTAGTGATATACCTTTAGATTCTCAAATCCATGTAAATGGATAGGTGAGATTACCTTTTTGACAATAAAGCAAGGGTGCCTAAAAAGTACCTAAAACTTTGTATTATTATGAATATAATATAATTATTCCCCACTTGCAGCCACTAAATATAAAAAAGAAAAAAAAATTCCCATCAAACATACACCATTATTGAGTAGTAAAAAAAAAATGAAAAAGAGACTTTATTAATGGGTTGTGATGCAGTGATGAGACTATTTCATCCTTAATCAGTGGTCTCGGGTTGGAGAAAATTTTGTTGGGAGTATCACCCCTGAATTATCCCTGCGATATAAAATTCAAATTTAATCGGGGCTCCAATGCAGGCTTCGAACGATGGGAAATAAAAAGAAAAAAAAAGACTTTGCTATTGGAATCTTCTTTTGATTCTTAATTATTAATATATATACATATATATATTTAAAAGAATCGTGTAACAACAAGCAACTTCCTAGTCAAATAACCTAGACACAGTTGTAAGCAGTTCAAAGAATCCAAGTACACTACAACTTAATTTTTTTGACTTAATTGCAACTCACCAACAAACAAATAATAATAATGATAATACGATAAATGAATGTGTTAGAATGAATATGATTCTTTTTATTATTAATTAGATATTTTGAATTTGAGTAGCTAAAATGAAAGAAAAAAAACTCATGTAACAAGTGGTTAATTTATGCAAATGACCCCTTTTAGGCTATCCGTTACCAATTATCATATAGATTTTGTCACTAATTTTAGAAGTATAAATACAATTCTTGTGAAATTTCATCATGATAACGTTAGTCATCAAATACAAATCTAATTAATTATATTTATTTATATATTTCTCAATTTTAAAGATAAAATATCAGACAAATAATGTCATCTAATATTTACAATAACTTACTAGCTTTAGAGTTTAGAACATAATCGGAACATTTTCTCATAAAATTTCTAGTTTACTCAAAAGAATATTTAGTTCATGTTCATGAGATTCAGAATAAACAAATAAAAAAGGGTCATGTACTAAATAACTATCCTAAAAAGAAATAACATGTGAAAAATTTCTAAATATATGTACGCGAATCTAAATTAATCGAACACGAGATTCAACATTATGCTTCAAGAAAGATCCAACATAATTTTATTATAGATTAGACACAATAATTAGTCATAACAATAATGGTTTAATAAATACAAAATTACAAAGTTGTCACCATTAAGTTGGCCTCATGTGAAAACGTGTCAATCTATTTACAGGTATCTTTTTGTTGTACACATTAATAAATAGCTTGATTGATAGTGATAGAAATTAAAAATTAATTTCCAATTTTGTCATCCTTAATTTTCCTCTATATATATCAAAAATAAAATCAACTTCAGTATAGAAGAGCAAAAACAAAACAAAACAAAAAACAATTTTTTTTTAGAGAATTTCAAGAAATGGCAATGAAAAATCAAGAAAATGTTGGGATTTTAAAGAAATTTCCAGAAGCTTCTAATAAAATGTGTTCATTTGGGAGTAATGTGAAGAAAATAGCTAAAGAAGATCCAAGAAAATTAATTCATTCAATAAAAGTTGGATTAGCAATTGCATTGGTTTCATTGTTTTACTACTTTGAACCATTGTTTGATTATGAAGGATTTGGTGTTTCTTCAATGTGGGCTGTTTTAACTGTTGTTGTCGTCTTCGAGTTTTCTGTTGGTAAGTTTTTATTATTCGAATCGTAAAGGTTTAATTAATTTCACGTATGATCATCAAATATTTTGTAATATATAATAAATGAAAGATGATTTGAAGGGTTGTAGTGTTCCTTCATGTTAATAGGTTATACAAAATAAAATAGATTGAAATTAGCTATAAACTTCATCGTTAATTCTCGCTATATTGCTTATATAGTTAAACATAACGTTTTTCCATCTCTAGTCTGTTACTAAATAGGATTAACAACGAATTTTGTTATTTAGTTACATAATTTGTCTATCACTAATTTCTATAGTGTTTTAATGGTATAGAGTATCTTTTTTAACCCCTTTCCCTCGAGCGTCCATTTTTGCTTTCTTGGTGATTCAAACTCACAATCGAACTTTTTGTGGAAAAATATTGTTATCATAAATATTTTCTTTTGTCTAAAGAGGTTATGAATTAATCACTCAACTTTTGTCTAAATTCATTTAATTTAATTTTATTATTTTAGGAGCAACACTTGGGAAAGGAGTTAATAGAGGCCTTGCAACATTTTTAGCTGGTTCATTAGGTGTTGCAGCTCATAGGCTTGCTAGCTTTACAGGATCAGACAAATTGCAACCAATAATACTTGGTTTATCTGTTTTTTCAGTAGGTAAATCGACATTTAAATACTGACGTTATATATCTTAAATTTTATATTTATTTTTATAAGTATAAATGCTTAACAAGTACTTTCATGTGATTAATTTTGGTGATGGGTTAAACTAGCTACGATAGCGACATTTTTGAGATTCGTACCAAAATTGAAAGCGAGATATGACTATGGCATTCTCATTTTTATTTTGACGTTCTCTATGATCTCTGTCTCGGGATATCGGGACCCTGTGGTGCTCGATAAGGCGATTACCCGAGTAACTACGATCCTTATCGGGGGCGTGGCGGCGATCATGTTTAATGTGGTTAT